GGAAGGATTCAGGGAATCATTACAGATTATTAATTGAATATGAGCTCAGTATGCACTGTTCTGGCTTAGAGGATGAACATGCTCTGAAAGCATAAGCAAGGAACTAACAGGCAGAAACAGCAGAGCATATTAAATCTTTGTTGCATATCTGACGCTCATAAGATTGTGAGTATAAAATGGAACTCTGAGGCAGACACTTAAAAAAAAGATAACCACTATGATGGAAATAAAAAGGCTACAGAATTCTGCCTTGTAGCGGGAGACTCACAAAGCTCAAACTACAGTTAACTTTGCTATCAAGAGTAATTGGAAGGCTGATAGAAGCTGGGTAATGGAGAACACCATTTGTGTTTTGCTTCTGCATTCAAAACAGCTCACAGAGCACGAGGTGTAATTTCTCTATCACACTGCCCTGAGTTTCTGTTTCATAGGGGCTTTTTGGGAGCACAGAAGCAAGGCCTTGGGGAGCATCTGCAGGGATATTGGAGCCAGACCTGTGCAGGACCTATTGGGTGCAGGACCTATTGGAGTTTACAGGGCTTGTTAGTTCAGACTGAGTGCCATGTTAGTGTAACACTGCTTCCAGACCTGAGCTGGCTCCTGCAGCTGCCATGTGCTGCCCCTCAGCGAAAATGCCCAGCCTACTCCTTACTCTCAGCTCAGACACACTGACCAAATCGTGGAGAGCAGACAGACTTCTTTGATTAAGAATAATCATCTCTGGAAAGGATTTTTGAAGGCTGATGAAGCTTAATCTGGCAGAAAAAAGGCAGCAACAATATTCAATATATGAAAGTCCAAACTGGACAAATTTGGAGCAGAGAGGAAACTTGTGGTTTTGACATGGAGAATAACTGGCAGCAAATGTACATTAAGAACCCTAGGATGCTCCCTTCAACTTGAAACCAAAATAGTAACACAAATAGGCATTTGGCCACAGAAGATATTCATGACACTCTGCCTTGTGCCACCCAGAAGGTTAAACTGGATGAACAGCCAATCTCCTTTGGCACTAAAATTCATATATTTTTCTGTCAGAATATAAACCCAATTTTATCCATTCCTAATTATCCTAAGGAAGCAGATGTCTAATCTGAGATATCAGGCAAGAATGTTTTCTTTTACATAACATATACTACACTGGTCCTGGTTAAGATCTTTGCCTCAGAGCCATACAAATTCTTAGATGTTGAATGGGCTATCCAATGGTTTCAACAGGAATGATTTTTACATAAACCCAAGATCCCTTCCCCTTTTGCCATATGCTTTCCCAAGCAGAAAGGCAGCTCATTATGCAGCACAGGATGAAAGATGCTGTTCAATATGATGCTATTATAACCTGTGCTAGTTGAAGATATGGATTTCTTATTTAGATGAAAATAGAGAATAAAGCTTAAGAAGAGCAAAGCTTTCTGATGCGACTGGGCCATGGAAGAAGGGACAAACCTGTGTATTGGTTTCTTAAATGTTATTGAGGAGCTCAGTTTCCAACATTTGCCCGTTCTCTTCGAGTGCTATCCAAAGATTCAGTTTTAGATTAAGGGTTCAGGGTCAAATCATAAAAATAGGGAAGATGTTAAGCAGGTTTTAGCACATCCTAGAGAGGAATAGTTTAAGACTTTCAATTAACGAAAAACCACCAGAACGACATTGTTACTAGCCTCTCATTAAGTAAACAGCCACTGGCAACTGCTGAAAAGGAGTATGATTTCTGATCACCCCCAAAATATACCAAGTAACTTTTAGAAATTTTGGTCTTGTTTACAACAGTTCAGTGTAAGGAGTTCATATTGAATCACACTAATGATAAAATAATGCTATTATACTTCCACATTCATTACACCCTGAATCATACATTGACCTTCCCTTAAACACATCTACCATGCCCCAGGCTTGGTTTGTACCATATAATACAAATGATGAAAATAATTTGGGTTAATTGAGTTGACATATAGTGGTTTTTACTGTTTTAAATCTGTATCTGAGATTTCAATTGATGCAACAAGGAATCAGGATTTTGCCCTGAACTGACAGGCAATAAAATGATCAGAAAAACTGATTTTAAAAAATCTTATGAAAACAGGTTTTCCCTACTGTGACATGGTAGTGCGCTTCTGCAACAAAGCAGCATAAACCAGAAGGAATCTGAGCTGTTGAAAATTATTTTTTTGGGTATTATGGCCATTTCATTCTGTTAAAAGATCTGGTTAAGGCATCTTCTAAACAAACAAAAATATTGGTGCTAAGAGGTATTAGAATGATAATTCTGAAGACTTGTCCACATAGCATTAACAAAACAATTGCAAGGAGCTTTGCTTGGGTTTTGCTTTTTCCATTTCTATAATTATGTTTAATTAATATAAAGTTAGCTGAGCTGAAAATAGTGCAGTTAAAGATGGCATGTTCTACAATGCTGTGACCTAAATCCAGGTATCTTTAAATAGGGCTGTTTCTCATTATTTGAATGTAGATCTCAGTCTTTCTTCTGTCTTATCTCCACATGATTAACAAGGAAATCTAAGTGTTTCTGGAAGAAGACATTTGACTAGGATACTTGTTCAACATCTTCATCAATGACCTAGATAAAGAGTTGGAATGTACCCTCAGCAAGTTTGCTGACAATACAAAACTGGGAGGAGTGACTGATACACCAGGAGGCTGTGCTGCCATTCAATGGGATCTGGACAGACTGGAGAGTTGAGTGGAGGGGAACTTCATGAAATTTAACAAGGGCAGGTGTAGAGTTCTGCACCTGGAGAGAGACAACCCCATGCACCAGTACAGGTTAGGGGTTGACCTGCTGGAAAGCAGCTCCATGGAGAAGGACCTTGGAGTCCTGGTAGACAATAAGTTATCCATGGGACAGCAATGTGCCCTGGTGGCCAAGAGGGCCAATGGTATCCTGGGGTGCATTAAGAAGAGTGTGACCAGCAGGTTGAGAGAGGTTATCCTCACCCTCTACTGTGTGCTGGTGAGGCGTCATCTGGAGTATTGTGTCCAGTTCTGGGCTCCCCAGTTCAAGAGAGACAGGGTACTTTTGGAGACAATCCAATGGAGGGCTACGAAGATGATTAAGGGACTGGAACATCTCTCGTATAAGGAAAGGCTGAGACCTGGGGCTGTTTAGTCTGGAGAAGAGAAGGCTGAGAGGGGACCTTATCGATGTCTATAAATATCTGAAAGGTGGCCGTCAGGAGGATGGAGCCAGTCTCTTTTCAGTAGTGCCAGTGACAGGACGAGGGGCAATGGGCACAAACTGCAGCCCAGGAAGTTCCACCTCAACACGAGGCAAAACTTCTCTACTGTGAGGGTGACAGAGCACTGGAGGAGACTGCCCAGAGAGGTTGTGGAGTCTCCTTCTCTGGAGACCTTCAAAACCTTACTGGACACGTTCCTGTGCAACCTGCCTTCGGTGATCCTGCCTTGGCAAGGGCGGTGGACCAGATGATCTTCAGAGGTCCCTTCCAACCCCTACCATTCTGTGATTCTGTGGCATATGTGTGCTACCTATGGAACATCCTATCAACTCTTTGCCTGTCCAAGGATGCCAAAGCTCCTGAAACATGAGAGAAATGTTAGAGCAGTACCTCTGGAATAACATTTCTTGTTCTTCAGAGAAGTCTGTATGGCTAGCAAAAGAAGAATTTTTGCAGATTTATGGCTCTGAATCTTTAAGCAGTTAATCATAGTGAGGTGCTTTTCCTTCTTGGCCATCAAGAAGTGGAGTGAGATGGGCTTTTTTGTGAGTATCTTGTTATAATCATACACTGACTATTAGAATTTTTCTCTGCATGAAGGACTGGAATAGAAGTAAAGATTTGAGTTCTATCTGTTCTACTTAATAATGAAATTGATTTAAAAATAATAGAAAAAAACAGAGAAAAAAAAATGAAATAAGGAACCTGCTAATCCACTTTCCTGAAGATGGATGCTATGTTTATTTGTCTTGACCCTATTGTCCACTGAAACCTGTCTCCATTGTCCATCCAGCGGTACTGGATATATCAGCTTTGTTCCACTGAAGACCTTTAAAACATAAATTGCAAAATTTCAAGAACTAATTAATATATTCCAGTGAACGGAACACTTTGATAGTGTCTTGTAACAGCATAGACAAAAAATTATTTGTTGTGCATGTAGCTCACAGAAAAAGTCTGATCTCATTTTTATGTAAATCCATTGCAGTGCCATTGGCTTCAGTGTAGATGCTTCTAACTTGCCAAGGCACAAGACCCCCAGTATTTTATTTTCTTCTTCCAGAAGAAAACAAAACATAGATTTCCAAGGCACATTAATGGTCAGAAGAATAGCATATGTGCCAACTATTTGAACATTGTGCTCCTGAGTTTTCTGTTTTCTGAGATACTCTGTAATGCGGCATGCACAAGCATTAAGTCATACATATTTGAATGCAGGGTACCCTATTCATCCCACCTAACTAGCCATATAGATGTTGGGAGTCTCATCCAACTTAGTTCCCTAGGTATCCTCTATACAAAGAGATCAGCACCTCTGCTAGGGGGGACTATTTCCATCCTATCATAGGTGGGATAGACAAGGCTATGGACATTCCGGTCTTTCTCCATAGAAGAAACGTCCTAGAAAGCCTTGCTAGACAGCTTGCAATAAATCAAATCAATAGTACGCATAAAACAGTATTAAATTTCAATAGCCAAAGCTTTGTGCAGATAAGAATCAATAGTTTTTGGGCTAGTTAAGAGTCAAGTCTGAGTAAAAAATTAGTGACATGAGGTTGAACAGGAGAAGTAAATGTCTGGAACACTCACTTTGCAGCACGCTCCCTTCAACTGGCTTCCCAAGCTTCAGCCAAATGAAGAATGGAGTTGGATAGGTAGTGATGCAGACCATGTTAGAAAATTAAATTGAGAAGCAGACAGTTAACAGCAGAATGTCAGAGTATGTGATTCTAATAATTTACAGTGCTAATGGCTTCTGCTGTATGAATGCTACCGCAAAAGGTAGAAAACACTTGTGCTTACCTCATATATAGGAAGAGACCCAAACACTGCACCAGCCTCTCTGTTTCCAGACTCAAAACTTTCCAAAGGTTGTCTGTGGATCTGACCAGGGGAAGACAAAGTCAGTGCATTACTAGCTGAAAACAAAAGGTAATGAAGACATTACTTCTGTTATTGAATTGCATGGTAATATTCACGTTATCTGAAGAAATGTATATCATTACTATGTAGGGAGATTATGGTTTATGCACAGGTTTTTTTTGTACCATGTAAAGGCTGTCTTGAATTTTTTTTTAAATTAGGAGGGGATCATTCTTCTGCTATAGAAAATGCATAACCAGCAAAATTCCAGCTTCCCAAAATCAAGACAGTTAACAAAATGCTTTTTATCACCTAAGTTAAAACTAGTTTTAAACCCTTAGTTCTCTCACCTATTAACACCTTGGATAAGCGCAGTAAAGGAATAATTTTAAGTGTACTTGTCAGGCTTGGTGGATGCATGCTATCGGAGGATAGTGGAAGTCTAACCAAGGGGTAATGGAGTAAGAACTCCTTCCCAGATGATAGCTTCATCATAGGGTTCTCAGTCTAGCTATCCTTCTGTGGGTTTTGCAAATCACAAAAACTTTAGCAGCCAGTTGGGAAAGATGCAGATGAACAAGACATTTCTGCTGTTAACTGTTGAAAGTGTTGCTTTTTTTTTTTAATACCTCAGGTACCTTGACAGTTCATCCACACTCACATGAATCTTGAGACTTACCTAGGTATTACACTTATGGACAGGGCAGGAAGTGAAACTGTCTTTACATAATATAGCTGTGATTTCAACCTAGGAAGCCAATTTATGGTCCTCCGAAAAGGAAAAAACCCCCACATCTACAGCTTGAAATACTGCAAAGAACTCTTGTTTCCATCAAATTTGAAAACATGAGTTTAATTTGAAATGGTACATTATACAGAGATTTTCTACTTACATTTTTTCATGGTCTTACTAGTATGTTACTGAGTGTGCTGCAGTAGTAACAGTTTAAGAAATACCATATCTTCAACAATGTAAAACATTCCAGTGTCTGCCAATTCTAAGCATTACTCATGTGCATTAATTACTAGGCATTACCCATTTCAGAAAGACAGAAAAACTTAATTATGGTGAGCTAATCATATACTCTAGGTATTTGCACAGCCATTGAATAGCACATCTCTAGTCTGAAGTGCAAACTGAAGTCCACTGGTTTGTTCTGCTCTAAGGCAAATGATAGGAAATCAAACCTTGTTCTCATCAAAAGCTTATCAGAAGGGGACTCCAGTGCTAACGTGTATCAAGTATCTTCTGCTATGAGACCTTCAGTGAGTCCTCTTTTCAAATGACTAGGTAAAACTAGGCAGAACCCACCTCTGCTGACTTGTCCCACAATGTATTCAACCACTGACTTTGCTACAGTAAATTTCATATTTTATACCCAGCATCAACATATTTTTCCCACTAACACTGTTCTCATTACACAGTGCTGTATCTACAGCTGTTGAACAGCAGGGGACCAATGATCAACTCCCATTACTTTGTAGTGCATGCCTCTATGGCACAAAAGCAGCTACATCAGTTTCCCTGTGGTTTAAACACAGGCTGTTCTGGAGACTGTGCAGCACCCATGACTGGTATAACTGTGTCTTAAGTGAGCTCATCAGCTTGTTGCTGCCATGGGGTGGAATGACAGAATGCCTCAAAAATGCATGCTTGACTGCCTTTGCTTAGCAGCAAGTAATCTACTAGTTTCAAATAGTCACCCAGATGAGATGAGAGCTGATCTTGTATCTTGGTGTCACAGTCAGCAAGCACAAATGAGAAGGGAAGAACTGGCTGGCAAGACCGAGCAATAAGCAGTGAGGAGGTGTGTTCCACTCACCTTGTCATCTTTCACCCAAGGTACACAGAGGAAAGTAGCTGGTCTCATGGAGTAATGTTGTCTTTTACTGACTACTGTTTGGATGTTAGGCTGGCTGCATTAGGATATCAGATTGTGGTACTTAGAAGACTCACAGTACCACAGATTTTAGAAGGGGATGTTAAGAGTTCACACCCCTCACTAGCTGTTGACGACTAACCTTTGGGGCAGAATGGTCAGAAAAGTGTTAATGGAAGCTTTTTTTGGCAAATGGCCACAGGATTTGTATGTTTTTCCTTTTCTACTACAACTGCAAGAGAAGTTTCATCTGTTCCGATGACTTCTAAGGGCTAAGTCGGGTAGAGATGGAGAAGCTCCACCATTAGTCAATTAGGGTTGCAGAAAGTATTCAAAACAATATCTAAAGTAACTCATAATTCTACTGGTTTCTGATTTCATGTGAACCCTGAAAGAACTATAGTGTATAACCAGGGATTCACTGCGTTCTAGTATTTTTACACTTCTTCCAAGTAAACTTAAGATATTTAGGATTTCTATTGGAACATGTGAAAATTCTAGGGTTTTTTTAATGCTGTTAAATGAAATAAATGAATCAGTGTATGCTATCTCCTTTGTGGTGAGACCCCCACCTGGAATACTGCGTCCAGCTTTGGAGCCCTCAGCACAGGAAAGACATGGACCTGTTGAAGTGGGACCAGAGGAGGGCCACAAAAATGATCAGAGTGTTGGAACACCTCTCCTGTGGAGAAAGGCTGAGGGAGTTGGGGTTGTTCAGCCTGGAGAAGAGAAGGCTCTGGGGAGACCTTACTGCAGCCTTCTAGTATTTAAAGGGGGCTTATAAGAAAGGTGGGGACAGAGTTTTTAGCAGGGCCTGTGGCAACAGGACAAGGGGTAATGGTTTTAAACTAAAAGAGGACAGGTTTAGACTAGGTATAAGGAATAAATTTTTCACAATGAGGGTGGTGAAACACTGGCAATGTTGCTCAGAGACGTGGTAGATGCCCCATCCCTGGCAACATTCAAGGACAGGTTGGATGGGACTCTGAGCAACATGATCTGGTTGAAGATGTCCCTGTTCATTGCAGGAGGGTTGGACTAGATAACCTTTAAAGGTTCCTTCCAACCCAAACTATTCTATGATTCTATGAAGCTGGAATTTGGAAGTGTGAAACAATGAGAATGAAAACTAGAGAGGTTTCTTCAATCCCTCTGTTTATGCATTTTTGTTCTAGCTTGTCTATTGAATGAGAAGTATATGTAGGGTTATTTATAGCTAATTTTTAAATGAGAAATCCAATTGCATTTCCAATATGCTGCAAGAAGAGAAACAAATTTGTCATATACATTAGCTACCTTTGGAGAAGCCAGAGCTTTGAAAAACTTCAAGTCCTGAATTATGTCCACATGTTTAGTCTTTTTTAAAACTGAAGGTGATCTGGTCAGCGCCTTCCACCTGTACACACAAGACAGAAAAAATCTGATGCTCCTATCAAAATGGCAATTTTGAGTCCAACATTCTTAGCTGGCTCCAAAATAAAATGATTTTGAAGTACAAGTTATTCCTTATATCTTCAAAATATAATTTATATTAGGACATTCATATGTGTCATGAAGTGCTTCACTAACACTTTGTAAATCCAGATACTGGCTTGTCATCTTTAGAAGGCTGGAAATGTTGATGTAAGAGACACTAGTTACCACATCTGGGTGCTAACTCACTGTCTGATAATGGCTTTTCATAATTTCTGTTAGTTCTGACTACAATTCCTGTATGCCATTTTCATAACAAAGAAAGTTTCCTCTGCTCATATATCTGGTTTCTAAAGTTAATCACAAGAAGAAATGATCTACAGTGTCTGTTAGTGTAGGTTAACAGTTTCATTTATAACCAGAAAAATAAAGTCAGATCACATAAGCTAAGGAATTATAAACTACAGAGAGAAACAGAGACTATTCTTCTAAATGAGTTTCTCTACCTGCTGACATTTTTCAATAGATCACCTGAAGTGCTTGTTTAAACTGTAAGCACCTATGCTATTCAGCTGGGTTTGTACATTTTCAGTGTATGTACATTCAGGGAATATCTGTTAGTAGCATTTATAACTTGATTTGTTAATTGAATTCTAAAACTTATTTTAGTGACTTATGTGACAGCTATCCATTAAGCAAATGGTAGCAGCATTTTGAAGATAACTGACTTGACCCAAGAGGAGCTTCTGTATCCTGTAAAAAGAACAAAGCCTAGCATCCATAAGTAACACAGCCTTTTGGAGGACAGTTGGCTAGCTATCCATTACACCATTCGGTACAATTAATCCGGAATAATCGAGTTATTCTTGAGGTGACAGCACACAGAATGTATAGAATAATAAGGCTGAAACTTTCTAGTGCGCAGCGTGTGGCCACCTTTTTTTCTTTTTAGTTCTCTGCACAGTTAAGCAGGCTTCTCAATTGCTTGCAGTCTGTTTAACTGATGTGTTTTAAATGTATGACAGCCATTCTCCTTTACTGAAATATTTGAAGAGTCCTCAAAAGTAGTCACAGTTTGACACAAGCATGTCATTTACGGAAAGTTTCTTTAAGGTTAGCTGGCTTAATTATAGTATCTTTGATTCCAGAGGTTTCAAACTAGCTGCTAACTATTTAAAAGGACTACAGGGGTTAGTCCTTCGAACACAGCCAAGCGCTTCTCTATATTGATGATTTACTGTTCTGACTTCAGTGGGGCTACTCACATCAGTAAGAACTCTATGGAATAATAACTGTTAGCAGGATACTGACCTAAATAGGGTAAGAGTAACACACCTTAGAGATTTCCCATTGTCCCAAAGTGCTTTGGTTAAAAGGCAGCCTAAGAATGCTCATGGTATATGAAACTTTGCCACTAAAGCATGCATAACTTTTTAAGCCCTGAAGTAATTTCTCCCATTTGGACTGCTTTGTTACTAAAGGCACCGTGCATGTTGCCTCTGAAGATTCCTGCTTCAGTTTTTCATATCCATTTGGTCAACTCACTAATTAATGAACCAGGGAGCTCCAGGATTAGAAATACGACTTAAGATAGAGGGTCAAGGCTGTCTGGCTTGACTTGTAACTAACCCACATCCCTTGAGAACTCTACCTAGAAGGAGAGAGGTCCAACACTGCTGTTGAACACACAACATTTATGCCAGTATCAGAACGTCATGATCAGAGGTATGTGAATGTATCCATATGTGTTATGTACCTATAACGTCCCAGCAAATTTAAGACGACCATTTTTTAAACTGAAAGATTAAATTTGGCTTATTCTTACAGAAGGATTTTGTAACTCTTCCAGTTAAGCTTTTCAATAAATTTTTTTTGAACCCACAAGTATATCAGCTTGTGGAACTGGAAAGGAAACAGGCTGCTAACCTGAACAGTGTACATAAGATACAGACTCTAATTGTGCTAAAATCTGAGACGATTATCTAGTCATCACTATTACTGAATTCAAATCCTGAATATCACCTAATCCTGACTGTCACCTAGTCATAACAATTAAGAGTTTTTTCCGTGCTGTGTAAAAATGTTTTTTAAAAGGATTTTTCTAAATAACTAATAGGAAATACTAGTATTTTTTCTGACCTTCAGGTGAAAGGTGCTTTTTAAGTATATTTTCAGAACTGTTCCTCCAATCATACATGTATATAAATGTATGAGATCTTACTTGTCCCTGTCCAGCATGAGAGGATATTCAAACTTCTTCTTCTTTTCCATGTGCTTGCTTTCCTCTTTAATTATAGTAGGAAGGTTATTAACATCACAAGGCAAAATCATCCGACTGATATCTGATAATTCAAACTTCCTGGGTTGTCCGAAGTAACCAAGATAGTATCCGTTCATGGCATGCCAGAGCCTACAAACATAGAAGCAGTGCCAAAGGAGAGAAAGGAAAAATGGATACTTTTAGAAGTGGAACAAAAATGAGAAAATATCTGTCTACACTATCAAGTTCTGCAGCACTGTTCTAGAGTTCAGTAGCTAGTCATAAAAAAAAAAAAAAAAAAAAAATCAATGAGATTGAAGTTCACTGTTCATAATGTAAGTAACTTGAGAGTAAAAAAATCTCAGAAACATGTAAAAAAATCAGAAAACAAACAAACAGTTCACCTTTATAATTACAAAACTGAAGACTAAAGGCACCAATATTCTGAACTGGTCCTAGAGTAAGGTGCTGCCACGAGAGCACGATCCACACAAAATTTCCTCACTGATTCTCCCCAAAAAACTCAAAGAATGCCCTTCAAATATACTTGTTAGTCAAGAAGGAATTAGTTGTCTATAAAGCATCTTCAGACTGCGATGGTTTAATTCCATAAGCATTTGTTAGATGCAATGCTTAGGACCCATGTCAATTTAACAAGTATTGAAAGCTAAAATAGGATTAGACCAGGAGGTCATTTAAAAAATGATGGGACTATTACCTATGCATTCAAGGTCACCTTGCTGAAAGAAAATGACAGTCTGCAAGAGGTCTGACTTCCTGAGAAAACTGGAAGTGTTACATCAAAAAATTAGTTTCTTTCAGGTGCAGAACAGAAAATGTACCCAATGTTATATTTTATTTAAGTTCTAGCCTATATACAAGTCCAGCAGGAAGAGGAACTTTGGAGACAGTTCAATTGATTGGCCATAGCAGTAAGAAATATTAGTCATTTTTGTACCTGACTGAACCATCGATAGATGCTGTCACTACCACATTTTTCTCCTCTTCATGAAATAAGTCAACTACTTCAGTAGAGTGTGCCTTCCAGCAGAGCTCCTCCTTTATTTGCTGAGGGAAAAAAGCAACATAACCACATTTCAGGCAGTTCTGTATGCCACCATGCTTGATAGCTTAGTGGATTTATCAGCATGGCTTTCTGAAAATTAAGAGAGGTGAAAAAGTAATCCCTCCATGAAGTAGCCTGCAAATGGCATATGGTAGAAATGCCTCTCAGGGGACATGGAAAAATTCATTCTTAACGTAACCTCTTTGAACACAATGGAATAATGCTAACAGCATTTTACTTCTGTTTTCCTTGTTTTTCATAACATCAAGTTATTATTTTAAGCAAAGACATGACCTTTATGTGCAGGAAACATTTTTAGTCCCTGTAGAGCTCTGAATCCATTTTTCTCTGACTTCTCTTGGTATACTGTTCAAGTTAAGAATATCTGGCAGATTTTTCCTTACATTTTTACTATTTTGTGGATCTTCTAAGAATGAAGCAATGCTCCAGCGCATAATATGTCCCTCTGTTTATGAAAGGGGAAAACAAAACATCAATAAATTTCATTAGTTCTACACATTCACTGGTTGCTGCCATATGCCCTTGGTAAACACTGGCCAGAATGAAACAGAGATTACCAGCCAGTGAAAGTTATTTTAAGATGATTGTCACAATCTCATTGTCAAGCACAGAGTAGAAAAAAATGGACTATTCATTAATATGCAAAGAAATATATATACTCTTTGTGAGCAATGTGTTATTAACTGGATAGGTTTGAAATGGAAAGAACGTAAAGTTTTTTCTTTAAATGACATGAGGAAAGTAAAAGTCATCTTATCAAGACAGTTATCTATTGCACAAAATAGGTATGAGAGCTTCCTGGGGATTAAACTGTTTGTAAATCCTGGTAAAATGGACAAAGTTTGATTAATTGCATACATAATGAAAGCTTAATGTTTTACAACCTTTTAGTGCACTCATGTGAAGCTAGAATCAAAGAACCATTTTCCTTATTACCCACAACTGCTCAGTTTCCTGCCTAGGGTCCCTCTTTCCTGATGAAGTTGCCTGTTATCTCTTGTTTCTACTATGAAATAGAGGAATCTTTTGTGTAATTCCAACTTTCATACTGGTCACATTTAGTTTCTAGGATGGTACATTTCCAAGCAAGCAAGGAGGCTGGCAGAGAAGTTAACCTTTTTCTAACAGGGAAAAATCTGTAAGGGGAACAAGACATTGGTAGTAGCACTGCAGATAAAAGAGAAGGGTGCGGAAAGCATGAAAAGCAAATACATGGTGGCATAAACACAAAAGGACAAAGGGAGAGTATCAGATGAATAGGTAATAGGGTGAATACTTTCCCACAACTAATTAAAAACCTGTTCAGTGCATGTTGCCTTCCTGAACTCATTTACTGACTTAAATCAATGGGGAGTGGAATCTCCGCTTCATTTTCAGCATCAACGTCAAGCTACTGCTCAGTTTTGAAACAAATGGGGAAAAAAAAAAACCTTTCTCCATCGAACTTCTGACAGCATAAGAGCAGGAAGCTGGCAGGAAACAGTTCTAATAGACATTTTAGAAGAAAAGTGACACATTAAAGGACAAAAATCTCATATGACAGATGCAGAAGAGGAAAATTGCTAGGGTGATTCTAAAGCTTTGGAGGAGAATCAGACAGCAGACAAACTCTTGGACTTTCTGCTAAATGAAAGCCAGATTTGGTGTGAAATTAAAAATGTAACAATGAGCTCCTAGCACAGACCACAAGTGCTTTCTTTCATTGTATAGCAGCGTACTGCTGAAGCCATTGCTGTGCACTCCATATCAGTGTCTGAAGCATGGCTCTTGGTACTGCCACAGCTGCAGTTTTTTTATTTAGTTTTATTACCATGGATGTGAATTTTTTGCTTGTTCTTAGCAGTAATCTTTGCCATTGATGTTAATACAGTAATTCACATGGGAAGTATATGCAGGGCTTGTGAATGAAGAAAATTGTAAAATCTTTTATGGTATCAATTCTACTGAAAATGCTATTAACACTAAGTTTTCATCTACCATCCTTTCATACTAGAAAATACCTTTTTAAATTATTTAATTATAGCTTTGATGGAGAAAGTCTGGCAGCATTTTGACCTTCATTTCCACATTTCTGGCACATTTACAGAATGATATTTTGTGGTCCTACAGACTGCCCTGAACTGAATGACTAACATGTTTACTCACCCTTACTGCCTGCCAAAAGCATTTTAGTGGAGATGTCTGTACACAGTGTTGTCAGAGGAACTGAAGAATATTTTGAAAATGGCAAAAGTTCTTTCACTAAATTTCCCTAAAATAAACAAACACACACATATTTGTCTTTATAATATCTGCATGAAAAAAAAATAACAATCAATGCATCAGAAGTTGAGTGCCATTGATTTGATCTATTCAGCATTACTCAGCTCATATCTGTTCAGAAAGCTGCTAAAAAGGCAGTTTCCTAATCTACTGAATGACCCAGATAGCTGGGGTATATTCTTCTGGATTGCTCTCTCTTCTACATCAAAAGAACAAGTTATTCCACGCTTCAGGCAATTCAGTCTAGTTGTACCTGCCTCTACTTCACCACTTACCTCTCATTTTCTGTGCAATATCATCAGTATGCATCTCATTTGCTACTGAAATGTTGTTTCTTGCTGCAAATGGGCCCATGATGTCTCTGTCACCAACTTGTTATATTTTTCAAGTAAGCACCAGCAGACTTTCTCCCTTACTGCCTCTTCAGGTTTGGGAGGAAGTGAGGGGGAATGCCTTGCTGATAAAGAGATTCTTGACTCTCTCATTCATGTATCATACAATGGTACTCCCCCTTCTTGCTGTATTTACTTTGTATCTCTTTGTTAAAGTAATATGTTTTCTGGAATAGTTTTATAGTTCAGAGGTGATATGACAACTAAGCCATTGGCACTCTGTTGCATGACTGGCTTTACAAGCTGAGTATAGCTGTAGCCACTCTGTGTTAGGATTCTATTCTCTCCTGATTTGTAACCCTACTAGTGCTAGCTGGCTTGTGCAATGTTCCGGACGTATTTCTCCTCTTCTGAGAGCAGGACACTCTGCCTTGTCTATCATCCTTTCTTAGAAGGCAAATGTGGGTGAAATATCAACTTCTAGACTTTCACATAACTTTACATTCAGGTTTTTTATAATTATTTCAAATCATGTTTCTTCATTTTCCACTTGCCATTACTCCCTGCTACAGTTATTAAAGCAGAACAAATTTGTGTCTGTGGAAGAAACTATTAACCAAAAAATGCAATAAAATATCTACTGCTGCAATTGCTAGTTAAAAAGCATGTTTCCAAAGATTAGTAAAATTGTCTTCTCAATGGTCCAGTCCCATCCCAAAGACATTCAGATAGCTTACCTGAATACTCCATAGGCAGATACAGCCATTTTCATGAGCAGAAGCCAGTATTGGTGAGTGTCCTGCTACAGTTTTGGATAACTGTACATTCATCTTCAAGTGCTGGATATTCTTATACCGAGTTGTGCCTTCTGCTTTGGAACACAAATAATTATACATTTTCTCAACAATTTTTAGTACTGCTTTTGAATGCACAGAAATTACACAACACCAGGAAAAAAGTAAATTTGAAAATAAACTCCATCATCAAGATGATCAAGAACATTACAGATATGGGTAAAATTAAACCGAAAAGAAATTAGAACAATCTTCATGCTTATCTAAACCAGCAAAAACTATTGCTCTATGATGCAAGGGAACATTAGAGTACAGCAACAGATTTTACAGAAACTGCAAGCACCAGTGAGAGTGGAGGAGGACTGCAAGACAGTGGTCATCAGGACAGCTGAGAGGCAGTTCTGCAGCCTCTACATGAGGCTTCTAGAGATTATTATAAATTCAGCAATGAAGTGAAGCTTAATAACTAAATGACACAACAATTCTGGAATCATAAATTTCTATACTTACTTCTGCAGTTCAAAACTTTTGCTAAATGCAAGGTGGTGGTCACAAAGAACCTTTTTTAAGTTCCTGCTGTGACTTCCCCAGAGCTGGAGATGCTGGGGGGTCCCATGAGGGTCCTCAGTGAAATGGACATTCAGTGGATGCAGGACCTAACACGAATGCCTATTTCATTGAGCAGCTACAAGGCTTAGGGATGTTCTGGTTTCAGGACATGTTTTCTTTGCAAAATAAATTCAGATTAAATCCACATTTCAGCTGACCAAATTTCTTGTTACTGGGAAAGTCTGCTTTCCAGCAGAGGATGTCTAAAGGATTCAGAAGAATCTAGAGGATTTGCTTCTTGCAAATTCATTGATTCCATTTGCACAGTTTTAACTCTTAAGCACTTGGCTCACTTTTGTTTCTGTCATTTTAAGGATATATACGATAGGGAAGATTTTTCCTTCTAAAATTTAATCTGCTTTTGAAGATCTTGTCTCTGAAGCCATTCACTCATACTTCACTCAAGTTGGCTCTTGCTATACCATTTCAATAATTAATTCCTCAAATATTTATGTGGAAAAGAAGTGTGTACAGTTGACATTCCCAAATTCTGCAAGTTTTTCAGCAACATGTCTATTTAGAAAAAACCCCAGCAATTAAGCCCTTACATGTCCGGCATCCTGGCCTGGCTTTTGGGAAATAGCTGCAAATCAGGAGGAAGCAGAAGATGTTGAGGTGTGTCATCCACATACCAATAGTATCCAAATTATTCTAAACACAGTTTGTCAGACAAACTGACAAAGTCAGTTTCTGTGGTAATCATCTGGGCAGTAGTCATGGATCAACAACATAGAGAATGAAAAACATCTTTCCATACCTGTTATCTGAGTATTAATTTCATCACTTTTTACATTTTCCTAAAAGCAAGGAATAAAATGTAGCAGAATTAGAAAATGGAACTTGGGTGTAACTACAGAACAGTTCTCTATTTGAAATTATTTTAAGGACTTTTTTTTTTATCGAAGGATTTAAATATTCCACCAATTTCCATTCAGTCTGGGAAAGCACTGAGTGAAAACAAGAAACATTCCATCTGAACAGAAGTAAAATCACAGATGAACAAATGAAATTAATTGGAATTTAGGAGCATGCTAAAGGTAAATCTGGCTGAATGGCATTAATTTCTTGGGACAAGCAAAGTTGATCACTTACCAGTCATGTGAGTGTAACCTAGTCTCTTAGACAGTTTAATTCAGAACATGCATATAGTCTTGTTATTGCCTTGAGTAAACATGAACAAAGCATAAATAGCAATAACATTTGCATCTTTAGTATGAGAATTGCCACAGTCCTTCATTTGTGCCTTACTATATAGGCTTCTGAGAATCCCCAGGGCTGACAGTAATCAGTATACTGGCCTCAGAAATTGCCAAGTCAAATAAGGCAGGAAAAACTATGCAGCCATGAGTATTTGAGGTATCTTAGAAGAGGACAAGCCACGTCAATCTCATCCTACCTATTGACCTGTAAGGCTTGATGTGTTGGGCTTTTCGGGGTCTTTTTAAGAGCTGCAAATGACCATCCATTTTCTTATTCTAATGATTACACAGCACAAGATATTGTATACTTTAGTTTGCAGGTAACAGTTAGGCCTGTGTCTACTTGGGAGTCTATGGAAGTGCCATGCTCTGCTGAAACAACATGCTGGAAAGAATCTGAGAGGTAGCAGGATTTTCCTCATTTTGCCTGCTTGCTATTTGTTGCTATGCTGATGTGGCATGTTCTTCTGGCATAAAAGAACAAAAAGTGTCACAAAAATCATAGTACTATACTTAGCAAAAATACACTAGTTGAGACACTGGCATCTTCATGGTAAATTAAAAAAATAAATAAATCATATTGTCATTTGAAAGAATGTATCCAAGCAAGTGTGGCTGCAATGTAGATGTGGTTCCACTTCTATTCGAGTACTTCATGATTTGTCTATTTTACCTTCCCCTTTGAGTTCTTCTGTATGCCCATTTGAAAGTCTGAATTGCTAGTGATAAGCATCTGACGAACACTCTGATAGTCAGCTATTCCATGTATCACAGAGCCAGCTGCCTGACAGAATGTATTCTTAATTTCCCACCTCATTCATCTTAGGTGAACAAAGTTAATTTCTCTGTAATTCTTGATATTTAGTTTTGTGCATGGCTTTATGGAGGGATTTTAGTAAGCTACAGAATTTTAAAACCAAAACCAAAATGAAAACAGAAATTTGTTTTGAATGCTACGAAATCCATGAAGCCACTATACCTACCTTATGTAGGTTCAAAGAACTTCTCTTGTTCTCTAGAATGGTGCTGATATCACCCCTCACAGTAGCAGTAGTAGAGGGCAGGGAACTAATTTTCCTGTGTTAAAGAAATTATTGGAGATCACTGACATTCTTGAAGATCCTGTTTGCTATCTGGAAATCAACATCATCCAGTGAAATAAAGCATAATAAAATAATGCCTGAATTGACTGGACTAAGGGTTGTTGGTGTTTTAGAAATTTATCCTACTAACTAGGCAATATTGCACGGCCAACCTCTCCTGTCAGGAGTTTCGAGCAAATTAAATCCATAGTAAAATTAACATTGGTGTTCATCCTCAGGAAGTGAAGGGGGAAAATTCAGTGCATGCCAATGGTTTGTTCCCTTCCATTTTACACAGCGTTTTGCTCTGCAAATAGTTTTCAATTATAGAAACTTACTTTCAATCTGGAAAAAAAAATCTTCAGAAATGGGATTCTATGGAAGAAACTCAGGAAAAAAATTTGTATATGGTCTTCAATGTTTGTCATTCTGAGTCAAGAAAAGTTCTGACTGTGCTAATGAGAGGTTCTTGCCACGTAACTTACATTGGTGTCACAGCTGCTCTGTTTTTGACAAGTGTCTGAGTAATTGGGATAATGTAAAACCCACATAGAAAGTATGCAGCTGGGGTAGCCCACTTAAATTTGGACAGGTGGGCATGACTTTGTAATTTTTCAGTGTTTGAATTTACAAAGTTGCTAGCATTCTTGAACATTGTGTGTATGTATATGACCACAGTCAAATTAATCCAGCTACCTGCCCAGTACATACAAAACATTCTAAGCCTATATGGTTCAAAGACATTGTAGGATCCTCTTGCCTAAGCATAATCAGAACTTTTTTTGATTTATAAAAAACCCTGTTTGTGAATTGTAATCACCACATTTTTAATTTAGCTAGGATTTCTTAAACTAATCCTTAAGCTATAATGTCAAAAAGCAAATTTATGTTCAATTATGTTGCACTGGTACATTTAGGGATGTAGTAAATGCATATGCTACTTGAAGGTTTTAAAGCAGCGTAAGACCGTAAACTATCCTTATGATTCAGGAGAGCAAAAAGTCTGCCTAATTGCTTAATACATTACAGCTGCATAAGTATTTAAAACATACCAAGTCCTTTTGGCTACCATTGCCTTTGCATATCCATTGGAAGACAAGCACTTCTGAAATGATGTACAAGGTGCAAGGCCTTTCTCTCAAAATGAGCATATTCAGTAAAATTCTGTTCTCCATCCAACACTACCAACCTATGCCATCTTTTAGTCTGTTTTAAGATGAAACTTGAGGCTGCACACTTCAATGAGCTTGCCTCTCTCTTCTTGTTTGCTGAGAGTATCTAACAGCATGAGGATTGTATCAGATTTAAAATAAAGCAAAAACCTGCTGCCACTCAGAGCTATCTCACAGAGATAAAAATCAAAGAAGGTACAGTACACAGGAAAACTGATGCCTGACAAAAGCTAACCTCTGCTGAATTCTTCAACAGAATTGAGACCTATGAGATTATTTAGAGGATAAAAGGATAGCTTAGTGGAGTGGTAAAAACAGAACATATAATATGGACTGATAAGCATTACAAAAGTTTAAGGATGGGAAAGTTAATTAACTGTTTGAACTTGAATTGATTACACATAAAGAAAATCTCAATTTAAATCAGCTATCTTAGACAAACATTATATCAGTTTACTACAACAAAATTCCAAATGACTACACTTGTCCTGGGGGAAGATAAAATACACACAGTTACCTGGCATAAAAAGCACTATGTACAAGGAATAACATGGCATTGACCCCAGATGCTTGAAGAACTGAAGCCTGGTTGTCTTCATTAATTTTACACCTGAAAATAAAGATGCTTGTACAGGTTGTGTCAGATAGGTTGCACATTGTTCCCAGGAAAAATTGCAGACTTATTTGTAATAACAAAAATTAAACATTTCATTTCCCAAAATGCAAGTCACCTAAATGTTTCAGACACAGTTTTTCAGAATCAGCTAATCAGTTATAATGGATTAATGTCCATTAGTGAAGAGTAAGTACAGAATGTGCCTGTGCCAGGAAAAAAACAGGAAACTGATGGAATGATGAACATTCATTCAGCTAAGTATTTTCTTGAGAATTAGTATTTAAGAGAAAAGTGAAGTAACTTATGTTGAAGTTATGTAGCTAATTTTATGTTAGAAAAGTACCTTGTTCCTGGCATTCAAATCAGACATGTGAACCCCGGGTAAAATACTCTACTTACAAAGCATTGATTTTTCTGTCTTCCATGCATCCACATGAATTGGCTCCCTCATATATGGGGAGGCAAAAGCAAAGAAAGAGCCAGAGCCAGAAGTGCAGTTAAGTTTTGATTATTTCCTGTGGTACAGGGAAACTCAGCTCACTTTCTCACAAACATGCCAATTTTACACGTGAAGGATGCTGTGAAACTATTGGGTAGGCTAGTTAAGTATTGACTTTGTATGGTCTTAAAAGGCATGTATTCCATCACCAACACAGAAACACTGCCATGCTGCTCCACTCAATCTAACCAGACATACTGTCATTGTTCAGTTTCCTGATGTAGCAGCTTAATCTGCATGAGAATATCTGGAACCATCCTATGCTCACTTTTTGTCACATTCTGTGAAAAATTTTTACTCCCAAACCTCCAAAATCACTTCAGATTTCTCCTTGTTGAATGTGACTTCTAGTCTTCTAGGTATAGACGATCATACTGATACTGATAATGTAGAGTATCTGCCATTATCATCTGAAGTAGCAGTATTCCCAGATGTCCTCCCAAACACAAAACTTCCAAAAAAAGGATGTCTCTACAGCTCAGTAGCAGCTTCTAGTCAATGACAGAGTGACTTACATAATGAGTTTCCTTCAGTGGCACTGCTGAGTTATGTTAAAACACTGTTCTTAATTACATCATCCCTTCCCCAAATGAGTCTCTCTCTTGATCACTTCTCACACCTGCAATATCAGGACTAGCTAGCAAAGTAATTTGAAGCGGGGAGGGGGCATAAAATGCTACTTTAACTCCTGCTTGTCCATCACCCTTTACAGTTGGGTATCTTAGAATTTCCTGTACGCCATTTGAAAAGTTTGTATGAAATACTGCAGATCAAAATGAGTCCATGAAAGCGATACTTACAGGCGTCTCACAGAGGCAGATTCAAAATCCCACAGAATTATTGCACCGTTTGCACTTCCTGTAGCTATCAAACTGCATCCTTCTACTTTTAAAACATCAAAACACTTCATTTCCACAGAATGTACAAAATTCTACAAAGAACATTAAAAAAAAAATTGAGTAGGAGCCATGTGGACACTAGAGAGTGAAATGTTTTCACTGTTAATTTAACAAGATGCCTAAATTGAGAGTGTAATACAACAACTGCATAGTGAATGCTGTTCTAATACTATTGTATCTGAGCTACACAGAAGCACCAGAGAGAACCAGGCAGTGATAGTACTTGGAGACTTCCTGCTGCAGAGGACAGGGGCTGCCATCTGCTAACCTGACCTGCTAACTATGGCACAGTTGCAATTACAGCATCTAAGAACAGCTGTAAGAACTGAAGATTAATCAGAAGTGGGTATCTATGGAGATAATGGAGATACTCTAATCAGGTTAAAGGAATAAGTCACTGAACAGAGATATAACAACCTTTCCATAAACATCATTTAGATCTGCTACAGAGTCAGTGAAATTAAACAAAACAAAACTCAAGTCTTGTGGAGTATTCAAATTAAATTTGTCAACAATTGAAACATAAATTTGACATACTATTTTACCAAAGCAATAAGAAGAGAAAATGAAACCACTTTAACATCCAGCTTGATCTTCATGTGCTGCTTTTACTGAAGGTCAGTCTAGCTATAGTAATGAAGGGCATTTCATTTCCAGAAGGCTTCATACAAGAACCTCAATTTACTATTTTGTACAGGAATATGACGTGTATGTTCAGAGCAGCTGCTTAATCATGGCAACAAACGTGCAATGGATTATTAGGCAGATAAAGCCCTTAGAAACAGTAATTTTCTTAAATGATTTATTTTAGACCTTCAGTGTATTGAAAAGTTTGAAATACTTATCTGGTTCTCATCCTGTTGCTGAAACATGAAATCCTTGAGGGCACAGATATCATTTTACTTTCTAGACTTCTGTAAACGATGTGGAACTCTGAAATGTTTCTCACCTCTGTATCGTTCCTCAGAAAACTGGTGTCAGACAGCAGCTGAATATCCGGAAAAAAGTCACGTGTTTGTAAGGTGTCAGGCTTGAGTGACAGAGACACAACTGGATTCCCTGGTGGAAATGACACGGCCTCCGGAAGCACCCATGTGACATATAGATGCATTTCAACTGAGTTACCCTATTAAAATAACTGACTTAATGAAAAAGGAAGAAAAGGGTTTCTCTATTCAGAAGAAGATTATCAGCACGTGTGTGTCAAAAGCTTGTTTTCTGTGCCAGACTGTACAAAACGATTACAGGTATCACCTAGCATATGCTTGCACTGCAAACTGAAGTGCTAGACAGAGATATTCCAGCTCACTTTAAATTACCTGCTGTTACATTAGAAGCTGTCCAGCTGTGGAGCTCAGAGCTTTTGATTTTATTCAGTTTAACTACCCCCTTACAGTAAGTTGCCTCTTCAGTTATAGCTAGCTGCTTATTTTATTAACATCTCTAGTCTCCAGTACATATTTACCACACCAGCAAAACTGGAGGTTGTTCCAGTTGTGTGAGAAGAAGCTGCCACAGTTCAGCCATGGCCCCAAGTCATTGATTCCTCCCCACTGTGCCTAGAGGCTACTGGGAGTTACCTTGATAGTTCTTCCAACTATAACAAATTCTCTTCAGTATCTAGTTTCTGCTTTAATTTTGGTATTTCTGTCTATTTTGGGAAGTGTTACTGAAATCAGCTCCTTAGGTTTTCTGCTGTTTTCACAGATGTCTTGAACTCCAGAATGAAGCAATGATTAAGATTTTAGTAAATCTTATGGTATTAAGTGTATCAAACAAGAAATACATTGGGGGAAGGACTGAAAATTGAGATATCTATAGTAGATTCCTGCAAAGGATGAACTGGTTTTTGGGTGCTACTCAAGTTTACCTTGATAACTTCTATATTCAGAGCCTCTTAAAAAGCTAATAATAATAACAACAACCTGTATTTCTCATTATCACTGAAACATTTGTATAAAAAAGTTCTGCAATTATGTGAAACAGTATTAATGTATTTAGATTCATAAAGACTTGGAGGAGATTCAACTCCTCAACAATCTGTTTGTCAAGGTATATATTTACATTGCATGAATGATTTAACACTTTCAGTAATAACACTGTGAGGCAATTGATGTGATGTAGTATTTCAGAAAAATTTGAATATCAAAAGAAAACCCTGTATAAAACAGCTTTTTATTAGCTGGAGGCTGAAAAGTAATAAATTATTTACCAAGATGAGAGCTTATACATATTTTTCCCCTAAATGTACCATCTGTCTAGTAAAACTTACTACTTCTCTCCACAACCTTTGCTCCCTTGCACATAGTGGATTTAAAGTTTCAGAAAGAGAATTTTGTCCCAAGTAAAACATTCCAATTTGAGGAAAAAATTCTACAGAAACTGGTTTGTCTGAGAAATGAAACCACAATTATTGTGAGCTCCAAATGCATCCTGTTAATTTTAGCTGAAGGAAACACAGAGGACACTCTCAAAATCAAACCAAGCAAGTCAATCTGATTTATTACTGTCTTGTTTCTTTTTATCAGTTCTTAAGCAGCCACTGTCTGGTAATTTTAGACCAAAAAAAAAACCTTTAAGCCAAAATCTTCTCCAGTATTGCATGGTCACTTAGTCTCCATAGAAGGAAAAAAGGGATATTAGGCTCCAGTTGAATAGGCCTGAGGCCTCTGAGGTTTGTGAAACTGAATCCTGAGTCATGGGAGCTTCCTATTAGCAAATATTAAATGGACCCTCTATGGCATAAAAATGACTGTCATGGGCCAGCAATATCTGAGTCTGAGGGCTCAGCTGCTGAACTGGGACAGTGATCTCTACAAAGGACAGGTATCCAGAACCCAGAAAGGTGATGCTGTGTCTTCCGCTGGCTGAGGAGCACACTAAGGCTGAAAGGCAGCGGTGAAGGCAGAAAAGTATGGCTGCCTCACGAGAACATGGCCCTAGGCCTGAGGTGCATTAAAAAGCAGGGCTCTGACCAGTGCAGTGAGGCTAAATTAATGCAATTAAATTAATGAAATTAATGGCAGCAACAGTTCTAACCAGTCTCAGCTGCTGGTGAAGTAGAAACTGTTTAAGCAGCGTAAACACCGTCTATAATAACAACAGCAATATTTTAAAGCTTTTACATTAAAGGATCTATAACTACTGAACCTCAATCACAAACAGAAAAGCAAATGCAAGGAAAGAAATGATCAGAATGCTGAAAACCAGCAATGGACTAACAAACATATTAATACTTAGAAAGGCAGAAAGCGAATTTGATCACATGCACAAAGAGGGTTGTTCCTTGACAGTTTCTAAAAGTTTATCTACTAGTTAATGAAAAAGTCCTATTTTATCTCGAAAATCAGGAGCTACCATATGAAATTAGAAAAAGTATATTCGAAAAACCTGAATTAGTTTCATCTTCCCACTCTGCTCCAAAACAAGAAGTGCATGTTGGCTCTCATTAGCCTTCAGATAAACTATCTTCAGCAGACGACACTTATCTTTGCTGTGCTGGCCCAAAGGCAAGGCTTTAACTTCCTGCCCGCTTTCAAACTCCCAAATTTTCACTGTTCCTACACATGGATGAAAAAGGTATACAAAAGGGAATGAACTTTCAGCAATAATCTGTGCTTCAAAGTCATAAACTTGAACTGGATCAAACACGGAAAGGAGAAGAAAAAAGAAAATCCAATTGAAGGTTCAGAGCTAGATCACTGTCTTTCAAAAGCTGTAACAGTGTGCGTTTCTTAGGAAAGCACCCTTAGGGACAAAACTTACCAGAAAACATCTCACCACTAGCCCCGCCATTTTTCTGTCTTTTTTCCATGTCTGTTTTATGCTGCAGCCCCGCATAAAAGACCACTGCCTATCTTACTTATGTTTCTGGACTAACATCATCAGAAAGCAAGCAGGGTGTGAGCTGTCAGGCAGAAGACTTCAGGTTCTGAGCTACAGCAAGGAGCAGAGGGATGTGGTTGCTGGACTTGTACCACAGAACTAGTGGGGAGACGGAGCTACAGATATTATCTTAAGTGAAACAGGTATTACATATGAATTCTCTTTTGTGAGACTTGATAGCATTCACCTTCTGTCGTGCTCTTAAGATCCTTAAAGGGTGCAGTTTCTGCTCCCAAGTATAAACAAGAAACTTTTGCCAGTATGCCGTGTGGAAAAGGCCACCTCCTCTTTATGCGAGGCGGCTTTCACATATTGCATATATTTAAATGCTTCAGGTGTGTACTCTTCAACATTTGAATGTGAGAAGAATTACTCAGTGATGTTAACAGATTACAAAATTATTAAAGTTTCCTTCAGAAGTCAGTGTAGCACTTGTGTATTGGAGAGGTCTTGTCACATTACCTAAAACTGATACACCTTAAATAATACATGTGAAAAACTCAAGAAGCACGTAGATATATATATTCTAGTGTTCAGTGCCTGCAGATACTATAAAATTGAGCTTAGATACTATAAAATTGAAAAATTACTGCTTACCGTCTGCAGCCATTTAGCTACAGATCTAGGTCCTAAGTCCTATGAGGAAACATTTTTTCAGACCAAGACCTTTGAAGGTAGTCCTCAAGGGAGCAATAGGGTCTCTATTCCAGAGAGCAATAGACCAAACCAAGACACCCCCCTGACCCGTTCTTTTCCCACAACGGACAGCTGTGCATTCCTTTCTGTGCATATTTCCTCCCACCTTGGAAGGAAGACAAAATTCATTCTTCTGTCACTGAGACAGTCAAGGCAGAGTTCTGTCTGGTCATGTAGTATGTAATTTTAAATAAATGTAATAAAAATGTGGTAATTATTTAATTGCTTTACCATCACATGCCCCAGTGGCAAGATAGAAACCCTTTATTTCAATGGCTGCACAGGTCACTTCAGTATTCAGACCGTGCGCATCTTCAATCTGATATATTTGATATCCTGTTTCTAGGTCCCAGACCTGAAAAAATAAGATGGTAATTATTTGTACTACATACTCTAAAACTCATCAAACAATGTGTTCTAGTTTAATTGGAGAAAGATGACTACTTTCAAAGGCTAACTTTCACATCCTTTGAAATAGGTTCTCTGTTACAATACCACACTACCATGTTCTTTTACTGAAATACTACTGTAATTTCCCTGAAAACATCCCTCTCCCCGGAGAAGCCACTCTGGCAAGAGGAGGCTTTGTTTAGTGTGCTATGAGAAAGACCCTTGTTAAGTCTGAGACACTTTTGTTAAATATAATGAGTTTTTACAGCGCAAAAGCAAAGAAATCTAACTAGAAATAATGCTTTGAGCTATAATTTCTATGCTGAATATCAAAATTAGGATTTTCATAAACACTCAGTCCAAAAGTGTAGGAACAACTATATCTGATCATTATCTAATCCTTTTGGGAATTTAAGCAATGCCTTATAATGAAGTACCAGTACGAAGTTCAGTCACTATAGTGCAATAGCTCAGATTCAACTGGATTTATGAAGTAGCCAGTCATATACGTAATGGAGTATTTATGAAGTAAACATGTCATATGCACTGTCTGGATCTGATTTTCTGCAGCACCAAGTGCCCAGAACTATTTTGTAATGGTGCTGTAGCCATCGTGGTCTAAGGAAGGCAAGGTTTACAGTGAGAAATAGCAACTTTACTGAGTGTATAAAATGAACAAACCTTCAGACAAACAAGCCCTTCTCCATAGGAATGACATGCATCACCAGCTGGCCCAACAGAAGCTACCTCTCCCTACAAAGCCCCATCAACAGCTGATGAAAACTGCAGGTCCTCAGTACCTCTGATGATCATTGTCACACTGTTAATTACACCAGTAATGATTCATTTTATTCATCTGTTGGTTTTCTGATACTTGCATGGCAACTATTTTTTAGCAGTTCAAATGCAAATGGTAAATAGGCAAGTTTAATCTTTTCATTAATGTTTCAACACAAACAGAGCTGTGATAAAAGTGATCTCCGTCACTTTATTTTTCTTGTTAACTGGCCATTACATTCAACACTTCTCCCTTACTGTATGACTTGAAATCCTTAAGGCTCAAAACGACATGTTCTAGGAGATTATCTGAATGAGAAAAGGATCTACAGAAGGTCAGCAAATTGGCTCCAGAACTGCTAGCCAAATAGAAGCAGATCAGACAAAAGAATAAGAATAATATAGGAAAATAAAAAGTTAGGTTTTATAGTTTGGGCACACTCTCTTGAGCCAATGAAACTTTTCAGTTTTAGTGAAGGAATCTTTTTATCTGAGAGCAGCATCTTTTACACAGTCCTGTTTTTACAAAGTGAGTTTTTTCATGTTTTATACCAATCCATAGGATGTCTAAAATACACATTTATATTCTACTAATCTGACTGGGACTCAAGCACTTCCTAAACTTTAAAGAGAAGCTTATCAGATATGCCCTCTGAATTGAAGAATAATATGTAATTGTGCTTGCATGAATTGTTGATTGGATGCACAGTTTGACATCGTTGCAGTTAAAATTTTCCTTTGTAGCTACTGAATAGCCATTGGACCTTCACTACTATTGCTATACGTGCAAGAATCCATTGCAGGAACAGGTGAAGTATACCTGTTCAGCCAAAGGAAACAAAATTACAAATAAATCCAGCATATCTGAAGCCTTGCTCAATCTGCCTGGTGCCTGCAGTGCAATTATGTCAGTGCAGGTCAGGGAAGTAGTTATCTGAGGAAAGTGATACTGCTGAACCCAAATAGTTTTTTCATCATGGCTACCACTTCCCTGGAGAATTTGAGCACAAAAATAGCCACAAAACCAACACTTTGAACAATAAACACTAACAACTTACCTAATTGCCCACTAACTTATTTGTGATAAAAAACCCTAAGACTTTTCCAGTTTAAATGGTGACAAAACTTGCACTTACCTTCAGTATTGACTTAGAGCAGATAGTGAGAATCTGGTGAAAAGCCCTGTTGTAAACCAGAACATTGATGCTTTTCTCATGTGTCTGTGGCACCTGTCTTGTATCTTGTATCATATGAGTCAGGGGATAAATATCAATGACAGCTGAACCTGCACAGGTTGAGAGGAATGAGAATATATATATATATATGTTTTGTGTATAATACCAGTTACTTTCCCTGCATATAAAAAGGTTTTATGTAAACCAGAGGGTTCATATGAGTTCTTATAAAGAGGATAAGGAATGTGTTCTGTTTCTTGAAAATACATGTTCTCTAAACCAGAAAACATTCTCACATGCTCCCCACAAAGCACCAGTTAAACAATGGCTAAGTATTTACCTGCCTTAAACAACCACCTGCCCACCTTTGATGGGATTGATATCCTGACTCCAAATCACTAGGAGCCACAAATCCCCCAGTCCCAGAGTGGGTTGGTATGGAATGGAATGAACCCAAATAAATAAAAGTCTAATTGGCAGATACATCACTAAAATAAATACTGGTATCCACTTTCTTAGAGATAAAGCAATTCTATCTGCAGGCAATGGTGATGTCTTTCCAGTACCTTCCTTTATACAGCACTGCAGGTCTGAACGGTGTTTTCCAGACACCTTCCAGTGCTCTCGGATCACAAGGGTTGTAAAGACAGAGAGGCAGATGGGGACGGCAAGACAAAAGAAAGGACAGGGTTTTTACAACGGAGGGTGACAAGCCAGACTACACGTGCAGCCTCCTGTTGCCGTTCCAGTATTACTGTGGCTCTACCAGTAGAGGAGCAGCTGTCAGCAGTGAGGATGCAGCAAAGGATGAAATTACCTAATAATTGGCATAAGTTCAGGCATAGAGGCCAGCAGCTTAGAAAAGGGTACAGAAGGAAAGCTATGGCAATATTCAAATGAAGCATGAAGGTGAGCCGTGATTTATGGATGTTAGTGAACTCATAACTGAAAAACTCCTCTGTAAAGCCAGGTACATAGCAATGAGAATTAGTTCGCCCACATATAGCCTCAGTCTCTTACCCTCTTCAGGGACAAGGAGACATTCACTTAGCCTTTTAGTGGAATCATTAACAGAGTCCAGAACCAAATTTTTACAGATATTTAGGCACTGCTCCAATCATTGTTTATAAGGGCAAAGTTACCTCATTTTGTCAATGATTTCTCCGTGTAAAATCCCTACATTACTAAGGCTTGAAAATCTCACTAACTTAAATTTGAACTGAAGGTCATAGCTGCATCCTTTAGTGATTAAAAATCTTTAAAAACTGGAAAAATTAATATTCTGGGCATTTTAAAAATAAGACCTAGAAGCTGAAGTTTCTTAACCTTTGCAGTGTTTGCCAAATGTCCAAATACATATAACAATTTGTGGACTCTAGTCCAATGAATATATTTAGGCTTCTAAAACAAGTTTATTGGCACAAAGATTCAGCAGAAACTACCAGGTAACCTGAAAACAAAATGTTTCACATTCATTTTCTCAGATTTGACAAGCTTTGGAAGCTTTGTGCCTTATTCCTAATCCAAGGAAAGAAAAAGCTGTCTCCAAAGACAATAACCTTATTTGCCTGGTATCTCTCAGGCCTCTATAGTCCCAGAACAGGTTCAAAGCTGGTTTTTTTCAGTGACTATGTCTCTGGAGCAGACAAACCCTGCTGGTTTCCAGAGTCTGTGTAGTAGGTACAGAAGGCTAATAACCTTAGTGATACCTGTGAAGCTCTGGTTCCTGCAGAGGTTCCAGGCTCCCTGCTACAGAGTCAGGAAACAGAGCCCAGAAATCTCAGGATGAGTTCCCACAGTATTTTATTCCTGATCAATTAGACATTGTGTCTGTTGACACCACAGATTGTGGGGCTTATTATTACCTTATTCCTGGACTCTACTTCAGTTGTATGTAATGATAAAGGAAATCGCATTCTAGGAAAAGGGGCATGCCCTCAGACATCAACTGTGGTAACATACCAGTGATAAGCATGCCACGATCATTGTCAAATACCATGGCAAAGGTCTCCATCTCCCCAGGACTCCCTTGATTATCATGGAAGACCTGCAGCAGTGAAAGGGTCTGTATATCCCACACTCTAAAAATCTAGAGGGAAAGAGAGGGAAGAAAATCTACTGTATCATGATTGGATTTTCAATGACTTTTTGTTTCTATGATGGTAATATTATAGCCTCTAATGGAAATCACATTGTTAAGCATGGTACATCCCAAAATAAGAAAGATAAATATCAAAGGTATCTTTATCCCCATTTTACTAAGGACAAAAGGCACAGAAAGGCTGAGTTTTGTAATCTAGAGCTGACAAACTTACAGCAGAATCATATCTCCTGAGAATTGGCTCTACTCCTTAATGACAAGATGACTTCACTGTGTCATGTTTTTCAGTCACATACAGATAAATGCCAATAGTTTAAAAGCTTGTATTTGAATGGGACTATCAAATGGTGTGCAACAGTAAAAAGATAAATTTCAGAGGGTTCTGGATAAAGGAATTCCTGAAATCTTTGACTGACAGCGGGTGCTGGAACAAATCAGGATCAGGTCACACTGCAGAACGATCATTTTTATGCATATATAGTTCTTGTGCTCTCCATAAGCAAATGCTACCGATCACAGTTGGGGTATTATCCTGCAAGGAGCACTGAATATATTAGATATATTTGTTCTCACTTTCAGTTTCAACAAAAAACACAACACTTTCTTTGATCTCTAGAATTATTCATCAATAATTATACGTTAGCAGCACTTATTCATCCTGCCTGAACAAAGCTATATTGAACTTACTGCTATCCCATGCAAACTGCTCTTCACTCTGCAAGAAATCATGATTTACTTTCTCAGATCCCATGGCTTTTAGTGTGGTGTATTTCCCTGCAAGATAATCTTACTATGCTCTCAAAAGTTATTCTGTCATCAATCTGTTTGCAATTCTTATTCAGCTGCCAAAACTGTGGTGAGCTTTATATAGGCATTTGTGCAAGTGATTTGTATTCATTCAATTGTGTTAGTAAAAGGTGGGGCTGCATTTTTAATTGGGAGTTTAACACAAAGACACATGTTGGTGTGATGCTCCCATCAATACTGGGAATGCTGTGGGTATTGACAAAAGTCATTGAATCTTTGCATCAAATGCTCCATATAATGTAAGTTCTTAAAACACATCAGGACAAAACCATGAAATATTTAACTCAATTTGGTAACTGAGCTGTGTCTCAGACAGAAATTTCACATGAATAATTCTGCTTCCTGAGCTACAGTCCCTGGAGGTCTTCTTCTCTCAGCTGTTCCTTATTCTTAACTTTGTCACTCAGTTGAGATGTCAGTGGCTTTTCTTACATGATCTTGATGCAGTTAGTCAAATTCTAACTTCATAGTGTTGGCCAGGTAGCATGTACTGGCCAGGCAGCATGAAGCAACCAGCCTGCCCTGACTGGGGCTGGGCTGCTGTTCCTCTAAAAGAGCAATAATTTTCAGAGATCTGATGAGAGAAAAAAAAAATCCTAGGAAAAATCCTAGGGAAAACCACTGCTGTTTCTTTGATTCATCCCAGGATCTCCTGTATAGAGACAAACATTATGATAAAGGTAGGTCCAAGTCCAAAGATGTCTGCAGCAGACAGCTTAGGTGCAGATTCTTGCATTATATTACTGAAAACCTACTTAATTCACCCAAAGGTAAAAGCAGCTGTGTTGGTACCTTAACTTGCCCACTGTGGAAAGACCATCCAGTAAGCCTCCTGAAACAGGCCTGAGCATCTTTCCATAACGGATGAGCATTGTAACAGAGAAAGAAGCAAGCGAAATTGGGACAGCAAGACTGCAAGTTCATTTTGAAATTACTGGTTTTTCTTTCTGACTGGTACATTAGATAGAAGCATGGCTGACACCTTAGAAAAACTTAAAAGAGATTAACCAGAAGAATGTAAAGCTCTGTTCATCACTTTCATACATATAATTTCATAAAAGTTTTAACGACATAAGCTACTTGGTAAGGCCATTAACAAGTTATGCCCAGGAAATTATTTAGAGCCAGTCTTATATCAGAAGTACTAGAAACGATTCTGATGCTTAACTCAAATTCAGCACAGTCAGGGTGTTGACCTGAAATGCTAGTGACCGGTAGCAGAAAGATGGATTAAATTATCATTAAAGACATTCAGTTTGCAAAGTAATTGTTTTTAGCTCATCTTGCCTAACACCAAGCTAGAAATCCGACAGGAAGAACTCTGAAGAAAAAACAAGAACAATCTGTCAACCTCATAAAGAAAACAGCTACAATCACATTCACTGCTGAAAACTCAGTTCCATAACATTACTCACCTTTTAATATAAAGATCTTTGAAAACCTAAAACAGCCCCAAGAAGCACTTTCTCTGCTAATTTAGGATTAGAGAATTTTACATCTGCAGAGTATCACTTGTATCTGTCCATTTCATCACATAACAGCTTAAGCTCTTTTTTAAATTTCTTAAAAATAACTACTTCAGGAAAAATTTTCATTTTACACCTATAAGCAGAGAAAGTAAGTGGTTTCCCAAATGACACACAGCAAATCATAGTCTGAAACATAACCCACAAGTTTTGACTATTTCAGCTTTCCTTACCACAGCCCATTCCCTTCTTCATCTTGCAATCTATTTTTTTTTTCTGTTGAACAGAGCATGTGCCCATTATAATTCATAGGCAGTACATGTCATATCCTTAGAAATCCTTTTAATAACGAGCAAGACTTCACTTGTGCATATGTTCATGTTATGAAAAGTTGATTGCAATTGCCAGGAGTTGTTTGTTCCAAAGACACACACTATACCATTGAGAATGAATGTTTGTAACTCTGGATGTTATAAAATGTTGAAGTATCTCTCTTTTTTTCACTTAAAGGAGGATCTCAGCATAGAAAAAACACCGTTGCCAAAAAAAAAAGCCCAAAGCCCAAATAGAAGACTGTTCACTGTATGCAGAATAAAAATAAGGGAGACAGTAGTGGATGGAAATTATTCAGGGAGATGATAGATAAACAGATTTTGAGATTACTGGAATTTCCATCAGTAACCTGATTTGAAAGGAAGTTACAGTGGATCCAGCAAAATTCTGAAAAGAAAGGGAAGAAAAGAAACAGATATATCAGTCAGTGTTGAAACAGATCACCTTTGGCACCAGGGAGAAGTTCATACACGGGTGTTTCAGAATTTTAAGTAGAAGAAAATGTCTCTGACTATTGTGGTTTTTTTCAGGAAAATTCAAAAGGACAAGGCTCTAAAGAACTTCTTACTGATATTAAATTTTCTCTGAGACAGTGCTGAGTCAGAAGAACCATGTCCATCACATTCCTCTGATGGACTTCTGATTATATTTCAGGAGTTCACTCAGACATGCAATTTCTAAAGCATACAAAAAGAGAAATAGTCACTGAGAAGGCTTGAAAAAGGAAATCCAGTTGAACAGAAAAAATTATGAAACTGTTCATCCAGCTGATAGTAGACCAGCAAAAATAGAAAGAATTGGTGATGAAAGTCTAGAAAGCTAGGGCAATGTTGTAGGTAGATCTTCAAGCTCAATTCTGGCACAGTCACAGCTAGAGCATGTAAAAACAGCTGTAAGAGCTGAAGATTAATCAGAAGTAGGTATGTATAGAGATACTCTAGTCAGGTGAAAAGAATAAGTCACTGAACAGAGATGTAATGACCTTTCTATAAACATCACCCATGTCTGTTACAAAGTTGGTAAAATTACACAAAACAAAACTGAAAACAGACAATTCTAATAACCTCATGGACTATTCAAGTTAAATTGGTCCACAGTTGAAACATGAATTTGACATTTTAGCATAACAATAAGAAGAGAAGATGATTTTACAGCAGAAGAACTTCTTGCACTATTTCTTGCTGCTTGTTCAGCTATTAATGCCAGTACCACACTAAGAAAATGCAGTCACTTAAAGTGACAGCAAAAATCTGGGCGCATCACAGCATTCATAGATCTCTTCCATTCCTTCCAGCCTTCTTACTTTCCCAGCCTGTGGGCAGGGATGGGGAGGTTACAAAAACAGCTGTTCCACATGAGCAATTCCCATACAAGGCATCACCAGCGTGGCCGCAAGATATAATGTCACTGCTGTTCCTCTGCATCAGCACACATGACTCTGCATGAATTCATGCATGAAGAGTGGCAACAAAAGGCATGCTTATTTAGAAATTAGGAGGTGACTAGGAGGAGTTGCCTTAAGAACGTTTTGTTAATAGTAACTTTGCTGTTCTACTTCTTTATTGAAGAACTTCCCACAGCAGCCTGACAAACGCCAGGAATCCCTGAAGCCCTCTGAAAACATATTCTTTATGGCAAAATGCTTCTAGACTGTGTCTTCTGAAATCACAGAATACAGACTACATATGAAACGAACAAAACATATTAGGGAGAAGAAAGAGTGTGAAGGAGCTTCAAGTGCTTTTGGAAACAACTTTCCTTGTTACTGCTGTATCCACTTTACAGGAAAAGCTGAGCTGTACTTACAGCAACATTATATCTACAACACTGGCTTACATTAATGAAAAAGTTGTTGGTTCAGTTTGGATACTAGCAGAATTGGCCTTGACCCACAGATATACCTTTTTTAAGAGTTAGTAGAGCAGGGATTCTTGCCTGTGTCCCCACCTTGTGGCCAGGCTCCTTCACACAGTCGGTAACAGGCACAGAGGGGCATTTGAGGAATGCACGCTACCTCTCTTTCATATCTCAGCTGCAACAGCTTCAGCAAAGCACTCTGTTGTCCTCTCCATTCCCTCTGTTCTGGGGTATTCTTCTTGTGTCTTTCATTTTTCAACCCGATGGCAAAGCCACATAGTTACAGATGGAATTTCTCCAGACGCTAAGCAAAATTTGGAACCAAATTCCTCCAGAATTCAGAGGGAGTTCTTGCCAAAGCCTTCTGAGATCCCTTAACAAATTTAAATGTGCATATTTGCATACATAGACACTTTTCTCTGAATTACCGCCTTCCCTCAAGCACTAGAACTCAGAACACAGAAAAAAGCCTGAACTATTTTTTCCATCTGGTCTAAAGCCTATGTTTTAGGAGCATGTAAAAAC